CATGAATCAATGACCCGTACCGTAACACCGTACATGTTCGGTTCGTTGCGAGATGACACGGTTCGCGTCTGGAAGCAACGAAGTACGAAGTAACGCCATTCACAATGGTGGTTCGGCTTCTAAGAACATATACCTTAGAATCAATGGCCCGTAACGTAACATCGTACATGTTCGGCTCGTTGCGAGATGACACGGTTCGCCTCTGGAAACAACGAGGTACTAAATAAAGCCATACATAATGGTGGTTCGACTTGTAGGCGTATATACACATGAATCAATGACCCGTACTGTAATACCGTACATGTTCGGCTCATTGCGAGATGTCACGGTAGGCTTCTTTAAGCAACGAGGAACGAAATAACATAATTCAGAATGGTTGTTCGACTTGTAGGCGTGTATACACATGAATCAAGGGCTCGTACTGTAACACCGTACATGTTCGGCTCGTTGTGAGATGACACGGTTCGCTTCTGGAAGTAACGAGGAACGAAATAACACTATTCAAAACGGTGGTTTGACTTGTAGACGTGTATACATATGAATCCATGACCCGTACCGTAACACCGTACATGTTCGGCTCGTTCGCTTATGGGAGTAACAAGGTACGACATAACGCCAAACACAATAGTGGTTCGGCTTGTAGGAAAGTATTCCTGAGAGCCAGCACATTCCTAACACAGCACATGTTCGACTCATTGCGAGATGACGGAAGTTCGAACCAAAAAAGGTACGATACAATGATAGATACAACAGGTAAAGATACTCGATACATATATACGATAAAAATTAACCAACCGTACCGTAACATGTTCGCGGTTACGTTACAGGTCATTTGGCACAAATTGATACGCGCCAAAGATATTTCATTTTGTTAAGACCAATTTAGTTGATTGTTAATTCTTGAGTTTTTTTATAATTTGTTTATTATGGTTTTTCTTTTTGTAGTTATTGATTGCCAAATATGTCACAAGTTTCTGATATAACTTCATCAAATTATTTATAAATAATGGTTCATGAGTAATGCTCGTTTGTATAATTTAGGCGTGCCTTCATAACTATTACTGATTTTCAAATAGTAAATGTCAGCTTCACTGTTCATTGTTATCGTTGATTAATAGCTAATTGAGAGTAGGTGTAAGTGAACTTCAAATCCGTAACCGAATATATATAAACGTTACACCAACTTCTCTAATTTGTAATGCCAATAAAGGAATTATACTTTGGTGTAACCCATTTTCGTCTACTGGCTTTGACAGGTGAATCTGAAAATGCCCTGCCCTCATCAAGGCATTTTCAAGCCGCAGTACCGTCATTTTCATCAAATTTGTGAATATTCCAAACAGTGGCGGCGCAAGATCTAAATTTATTGTGGGCAACCTACATTTCGCGAGGCCCACCCACAGGAACACCAAAACTTCTACTTGTGTACTTTTTTGGAACATCAAATAATAAAATTGAAAATGTGCCAAAATCAACTCAAAAGTGATGAAAAAAATAATTTCTGGGTCGCCGTATTAAAACCCCAGTCAAAGTCACTGACACTGTTATTTACTCACTTCAATTAAAGGAACAAAAACTTTCTTTTTTTACTGATCCAGATTCCCATTTTCTTGCTTTATCTCTATCTCTTTTAGTGCCTAAGTCTGACATGATTGATAAATTAGAAGAATGCACCAATATTGTGTCCGTAACCTGTTAAAAAAAAATAATAACATTTGATGGTAATTTTTTCTTTCTTTAGGTACCTATAATTAACTTATAAGGAATTGGACTAATGAGTTTGAATAAAAATTGGATGAATATAATACATAAAAATATTACTTTGTATATTGCCTACTTCAATATTTCAGGTAATATATGTTTAATACAATATAATACACACAACGAAAAAAAAAGGTGGATTCTAACAATTCCAGTGAAATAAATTATATCTCGACATAATTTTTAATCATGTTATGTTTTGTAAAGAAAACTATAAAAAATATGAGTGTAAGTATAATGAATACTTCTTACCTTATTTTTGATAAATGAAATGAACACAGATGCTATTATTTTTCTTCACGACACAATCCGAATTTCTACTTATAAAACACATGTTATCGTTTTGAAACTATACCTATAACACTATTATTTATCCTCACATCGAATACTATTAGAAAAATTATACTGTAGGAACATGGAGGGAGATTGCGTCTGTCTGTGATACTTTGATTGGTTTTCTATTAAGGGGAAGTCCCGAGGTTTCTGACCGGGGATTCCCCACGATTGCCTCTCAACGCCAAGCATTGTTGCCAGACTAAATAAAAACGAATGATTAGAAACGACAAAGATAAGGATTTTTTGAATAATTATTTTATAATTCAACATAGTTTATCAGAAAAATAAATATTTTCAGGAATTTTTCATTTATATGCTTTAGTGCGCCGAAGAGTTAAATACCTTTTGAGAATTTTCTAATGTATTATCTTTAAAAAACCATGACGTGTACTTTTGGATCTTCCATACTTTTTTAAAATTATTTTCGGCTCTGATTCTAAAGGTTGTAGCCTGCTGATCAGTTGAAACAAATTCATAAAAAGAAAAATCGATATACTTCATTAATCACTATGTCAACTGTCAAATTCGGACCACCTCGTATATCCCTGAACCGTGTTTATGACATTATTTATTAAGTGTGTACTTGGCATCAATTTTAGTGATAAGTCAGTCGACAGTGGTACGGTGGCGGTGTGTTGTGCATTGTTTGTTTCATGCTATCACGCAGGCTACTGTATCTATAAATAGTTTTCGTAAAACAATTGCAGTTCGAAAACACGTTCTAAGAATGACGGAATTACCCAGAAATGTTATTTTCTATAAGAATATAAACATCTATCTGCTTTAATCGAAATTAATGTGGTGTACCGGGGAATTTGTGCATGATGGATGACTGAATCCAGATAATATAGGTTAGTAAAACTTGTTTTGTTAAGGCAAATCGATATTCTGGTTGAAAAAATAGTGCAAATGCGAAACTATTAAAAAATTCAGCTATTATGAATCATTTCAGGTTTGAATTTTATTGAAAATTCATTACTGACAATTTCGATCTACTTCATTCACATTTTATGCCGATTCGTGATAATTTGTCAGGAGTATATTTGCAAATGATTGAATTATTTTAAATTTACCCATTTTCAAACGCAACGCAGCTCAATGATGAATCCACTTTCGTTATTTGGAGCCACGGGAAACCAGCATCCGAATAGTTTCTCCGCCACATCAACTCCATTCGCCTTCGCATTCATTCGCATGCATAAAAAAAGAAATTGAAAGAAATATACTAGTGAATGTACTGGTCAACAGAAAAACTGACGGAAAACTCATACTGTTCTGTATCTTAACAAAAACTCAAACCGCCATCCAGGAAAAAATGTTGCTATGATGAAAACACTTGTTGGTCATTGCCACCAGGATTTATGAACCACATCTTTTTGAAGTCGAACTTTGCCATCTAGATCAAGGTTTAGTGACCAAAGGGTCTACAGCGTAAGGAACCAAACGCGCTCTACATTCTAGAAGACGAAATACTTCAACTTCGACCATGATCCAGCCGCTAGTGGTGGACACAGTCAACTTGCTAAATGAACAAAGTCACGGACCGCATCGTAAAACTGTTTGAACGTCACATCATTAAGACCATTTTCAAATCAACGCTATCAGATCGGCCAATGACAAAAGAGATCCTCTGACATTCGATGGTGTTTATAGAATTTTCTGTTCTTGTGGCTCAGTTCACATCGGAACTATCAAACGCAGCATGAACAACAGGATAGCTGCCGCCTCATGCAATCGGAGAAATCCGCAATTGCAGAATATGTCCACCACTCTACCTGTCAACAACGTGGACCAATCAGAACAATCTAGTAACAGTGCGGACGAATCAGAACGATGCTCAATCAGGATTGAGCATCCGCAAGGGCATCACCCCCACCATCACCCCTACCACCCTCTAAAAGTATAAATACTAATGAACTCGTAACTCGCCAGCCAGTCGTTGCCGAGACTTCGATTAGAACCTTCGTCCTCGCAGTCAATGCACATATTACTGATGATGTCTGCCGCAGTAGCTGATGAACCGGAGTTTGTTCTCTTCAATCATAACTTCAGCCAGTTTCTTTACAGGGATTCAAATCTAACGTAAATCTAATTATTCGCGGAAAGCGTTACCGTGCAAACTTTCGATGTAAAAATTAAACCAACCAATAAAGAATCTAACGAATATAGGCTAAATTTATTCTATGCAAAAATTTTTCGCTAGAATGGACGTTTTTTAAAAATATTGTAATTCACAGCGAAAATACATCGCGAATTGGTTACTGCACAAGAATCTTTGCCAAAACTACCTCAACCATTACCCAAACCCTAGAAAAATCCCAAAATTATGCTAAATTACATTTACGCGGCATTGATTTTTGCTGAAAAATATGCACATTATTTGGGAAGGCGCTTGAAAAAGGACGTATACCTTTTCGCACAGGCATAGAATTTTATTTTTTTTTTATTTAGTTCTTGTGCATCCTCATTGAAAAAAATCGAGTATTTTCGTAAACTCTATGTTGATATTTTGCGCTGAATTTTGTACCATATTTCGCCCTATTAAGAATGTATACCCTTTCGCACAGTGAAAAGTATCGTCCACTTTTCGTAAAATATGTTTGCTGATATTTCGCGCAAAATTTTGTGCTGTATTTCGCACTGAATTTCGCGCTATAAAGGGCGTAAACTTTTTCGCACAGAAAATGCTCTTAGAAAATTTCAAGGTTTCTCCTGTAGCTCTTGAGCATTCCCATTTTTTAAAAAATCGCAGTTTTTTTTTCATTTCGCACAATGAAGCAGTCAACATTCCCTCTACTTCAGCAAAATAATTTTATGACGGTTGCTTTTGACTGCTAGGAAATGTGATGTTGATGAAATATAAGTATGGACCCTTCTGATTTTCCCTTTTTTTTGAATTCCAGTTTGATAAACAAGGGTGGCGAACCGCCCACGGCTATGGAGAAGGAGAAGCGTATGCGGAGAGAGATCGCCAACAGCAACGAGCGAAGGAGAATGCAGAGCATAAATAATGGTTTCCAAGCGCTGAGGATCCTTCTGCCGCACCACGAAGGCGAAAAATTGAGCAAGGTAAGTGGAGATAAGAGATGATCTGATTATTTTTTTTGAGGAGTATTTTTCCCGGCGTGACCGAAAGAATGTGACATTCTTTTCTTTGCGCATTTTCTGGATTCTGGCGTACAGAAAAGTTTCCACGTTCGTTTCGAATTCGGGACTCGAGTCGTTCATCCTAGGAGCAGGCGACAACTTTTGGGGCGGCTGCTAACATCGGGGAGACTGGAGTAAAACGGCCACTCTAAAATGAAAGAAAATTCAAATTTAAAAACAATCATTCTGTAGCAAATTTCGTGTGAAATGAATAGCCACCAAGGTATCAGTTGAAGAGTGTTTTTGAAATTTTTGATTCATCCAGGTCCGTTAGTCTAACAATACAATAAAAATAATCACATTACATTTAATAATAATAATATTGTTCATTATGCATAAAAATTACATTTATACATAACAGGAAAAGGGTTAGCCAAAGGCTATTTTCTACTTCTCCCAAAAATTATACAGTGAGTGTAAGAAAATAATTATAAAAATAGTTATTTACTATTCAATGATGTAAAGAAATCGAATATAGCTCTTTTAGTTCTGGAGATATACAGGAAAAAAAATCTCAAATTATTTTTTGCCTATATCTTCTTTATTCGCAGACATATTGAAAATCTATCCACATTTTGCTATTGACGCTTGATGTAGGCTCTCAGAATATATTGATGAATCTTTTATGCAGGGTATTATCTGCCTTGAGCCACCTTCATCTTTGAATTTTTAAATACGGACCTGTATTTTTTGTTGTAGTTTTTGGATCGTAGACGTTCACTTCATACTGAGAAATTAAATTCAATTTTATATTTCGGGATTTTTCGGTAATATTCGATTATAATTGTGTGAATTATTCCCTTTTAAATTACGGCCCTGGAAATTGATTGACTGAGTTGAATAAAAGCACAATAGCAACTTTCACGTCACAATTATAACCGAATATTACCGAAACATCCCGAAATATAAAATTTAATTTAATTTCTCAGTATGAAGTAAATGTTTACGATCCAAAAAATACAGGTCCGTATTTAAAAATTCAAAGATGGGGGGTGGCCCAAGTCAGGGTGGCCTGTATAAAAGATTCATGGATGTATTCTGAGAGCCTACATCAAGTGCCAATGGCAAAATGTGGACAGATTTTCAATATCTCTGCGAATAAAGAAGATATAGGCAAAAAATAATTTGGGATTTTTTGGTTTTTCCTGTATATCTCCAGAACCAAAAGAGCTATAGTAGTGGTCTTTACATCGTTGAATAGGTCTCTAAAATGCATATATCTCTTATCGTTTACGAGATCCCTATATATGTACAGAAACGAATTTGAATAGCCCTGTATATCAACTCCATATTCATTAAGTTTCATACGAATTGAAATATCTTTTTTAGCTGGAAATTTTGGCAACAAGTGCGTCATGCGCAGTTGTGCCGATTTGGCCTGCCAGATCCTACATTACTCACTTCTTTGATATTTGACTATTCATTGTTCAAAATTCTCACGCTTTGAAAATCCTTCTCAAAATTTGTTGTGGAGCTCTTGGACTACAACACTTGTTGTTAAACTTGTTGTTTAACAAAAAAAACTTTGGAATCCTCGACCAGAATAATCATCTCCACACCTCTGTTGCACTATAAAATGCTAAATGCAATCCGTACTTTTATAGCGCTCGTTATATGTTTCACCGTTTTATAACGAGTCGTTATGCGGTGTCGAACAACAATCGACGATTTTATGATCGCTAGTTAAATTTCTACTAAAATTTAATTTCACGTATTTTTCTTCGATCTAATGAGAAATCTGAAGAGTCATAGGGGTTTACTCTCACACACGTACGCAATTAAATAAATTATCTTTTTGTTCCGTTTTGACCGCAGCACTTATTTTCACATTAACAAACAGTTTTATGCAATGTAATTGTAGATGACATTAGGACGGTGTTTGTTTGTTAGACTTGTGCACATACAATTATATTTTCCATTGTTCAGTCTGAAAATTTCACATGTATTTTGGTCCATTGTGAGTTAGATCATGCAGAGATTTTGTGTCGACGTCGATATGGGTTGGTTTTAAAGAATTACCAAATAATTAACCTAATAACATTTTTAGCCCAAGATAGTACGAACCTCTAAAATCCAGCGAGAAACCTAATCAACTAACTCCAAACAAATTTTGGAAAATGATGTTATCAAATGATGTATTTCAGTTTCATTTAAATTCAAGAGTATCGACAATGGGATAGAATTTTTTTACAACGAAAAAAACATCAACATTTTTAGATAATTTAGGTTCAACAAAAATATTAAAAAACAGAACCAACTGATGAAATCACGAATGACGGGTACTTTTTTAAAACGCAGGCCATGTTACTTTTTTGTTTTGTTTATCCGATCAGCTGACCCGAAAATCAGCGTTCGCTGTTGTCCGGCTTGTTTGCCATTCACGTTGCGACCTAGACACGCCGTATTTTGACGGTCTAGACAGATACTAGCTTGTTATTTTCGGATGTTTATAACAGGATTAAGTAATGAGCTAAGCGACTGCTATACGCACGACTGCAGCAGCTCTTTCTTTTGGGTTTTCGTCGCGGATGAAAATTAAAGCTGATGCGTGGACTCTGTTCTGTTCCTTCTAGTTTTTTCTTCGTCTCTCTAATTCTCGTAACGAATGGCGTGGGAGTTTCGAAGGAGTCTCCGAGAATGGAGATGTCTATGGAGAGAATCGGTTTCGAACTAATTAGGTGGGATATCGATTTTTGTTTCGGTAGGCGTAAAATGCGTTGTTTTTACGTGGCTGCTGTTTAGAAAGAGATAACTTTGTTGCAGTGCCCGTTCAAAACTCTGCAGCTTCAAGAAATTGAAACAAAAAAGTATTAGTCGAAGTAAACAGTTTTCCTTCGAAGATGCTCACTTGGTGATTGAAACACGTGTTAGAACTCCAGTAATGTTGATTATCTATATGTAGTCCTCTCAATATAGGTTTCATCTGTAGTTTATTGTGATAACTTGAACAATTGCGGAAGCATATGTCAAAGTGTACCTACTTCAAAACATTTCGAAAAATTATCACAAATATATTAGGCTTTGCCAAACACTTGGATGGAAAGAAGATTTATGAACCTCTGGCAGAATCTTCCAGGATTGGATCATTCCAAGGCGTTTATTTACCATTCGAAGCTTGATTCCAAACAGTTGTTGGGCTACGGTAGGGATGAACTACTACGGAAGGGATGAACAGACCTTCTTACAGGTCACTGTCATTTGATTCATCATATCGAGTTGTCCAACGAAAAGTATGCACCTTGCTTTTCTCCTTTTTTTGTAACTTAACGCAAAAATGCTCGGACAGGTCAATTTTGCTTTTGAGGGGGACACATTTTAGATGTATTTTTCTATAGCGAGGGTGAGTAACAACTCTAAAATTTTAAATAGAAAGTGGGGCCGAGTGATATATCATTTGAAAGGGCACAAAATTCTCTTTCCAATGATACCTAATTTGTTGTATTTATTTGAATAGTTGAAAAAAAAGCAAGAACATTTACTCGATATTTTTAGTGTTAATGAAGATGCGGAAAAAACGGCATTTTTATCACATTCCTCAATTTCTCTCGTGCGTTTTTTGGTTCAAATAACAACAGCAGATAAGTGTACAAAAAGAATTTAGGCAAACGTTCATTGATTCAGTTCGGTTGCTTTTGAAATTATTTCAACTTTACTGTAAAAATGGTTTATTCCATTCCTGAACGAGTTGAAATTGTTAAACTTTATTATCAACATAATAGTTGTGCTAGACTTATTGCTCGCCTTTTTAATAACAGTCATCCCGAGAAAAATGTGAATGATTTGTACGTTGTCAAGTTAGTCCAAAAGTTTGTCGATACCTGATCTGTCTGTAATGTGAAACACCAGCCACGGAAACCGATCACAAATGAAACAGTGGAAGTCGCTGTTTTGGGACATACTCAAAGTACCCGTCAGCTTGCTGCAGCCTCAGGTGTCTCCCATTCGTCCATAATGCGGATATTAAAAGCCTATTAATTTCATCCGTATAAAATTAAATTATTACAGAAACTCAATAAGATGATCCTGATAAAAGGCTGCAATTTCGTGAACAACTGAGCCAGCTACTAATTGATGATCCGCACCTATCATTAAACACGTGCTTTTCCGATGAGAGTACATTTTTTTGAATGGAGCTGTGAATAGGCATAATTGCCGTTACTGGGATGACAGTAACCCACACTTATTCCTAGAGGTCCATACCCAGTAGGTACCCTCAAAAAATCAATGTCTGGCATATTAGGTAGTCATATCGTAGAGCCAATTTTTATTCCTGGGAATTTAACTGGTGAGGTCTACCTGAACATGCTTGAAGATACAATTGATCCTCTCATAACAGAACAAATTGAAAATGACCAAAATCATAATGATGATCGGCTTCATTTCCAGCAAGATGGAGCACCTCCTCACATGTTGCTCTGGTAAGAGAGTTTTTAGATGACCGGTTTCCTGGACGGTGGATTGGAAGGAGAGGCCCCACCGAATGGCCTGCCAGGTCACCTGATTTATCACCTTTAGACTTTTTCCTTTGGGGACACTTGAAAAAAATAAATGTTTTGCTACGCAGCCCGAGTCCATAGAGGATCTTCGCCAACGAATTACAGCAGAGTGCAGAAGTATAACACCTGATATGCTACAGAATGTTAGGAATAGATTTGAACAAAATCTGTATTATTGTATGGAAGCAAATGGGTCACATTTTCAGCACTTGCTGAAGTAGGATTCTACTAAGTCAATTACACATTTCAAAGTACTGGGTTGTAGTTGTTTTTCTTCATAATACCTACATGTTTGAGTGAAATACAACAAATTAGGTATCATTGGAAAGATAATTTTGTGCCCTTTCAAATGATATATCATTCGACCCCACTTTCCATTTTAAATTTTAGAATTGTTACTCACCCTCGCTAGGGGGTTGAAGGCAC